ATTTTGTTAAATATATTTATGCGGATCATAGTTATTGAAAATCAAACTCATACCTACTAATTGGGAATATTGATTTTACATGTTTCTAGGAAAATGATTTAAAAATATTAAATTAGTAAAAACTTTAGGCGCCATTAAGCAAAATAACGTTTTCTTTCAATTTTTCTTAATTTTTTTTCGCACACTCCAGTCAGAAAACTTTAATTTCTAAAATATTGTTACTAAATATTTCCCATAGATTCGCAAAAGCCTAACATAAAAATAGAGGTTTTTTAAATTGAGCTTAGACCTTTGGAGAGCTGGGAAAAAGTATACAAATATGATTTTTATGTCTTTTTATGCTTGCTATACATTTTACATCTGTTTTACTTTCCTTATTATTATTTTTATTTTTCTAATTGATTTATTCTTACTATCATGTGTATGAACTCTGAGCTTTATCTTAAGTTACGACCATTTCTCCTGAACAGAACACGAAATTTCGGCGTTATTTTTTATCTTAACAATGAAATAAGAGCAATGATATTATCTTAGCTGTTATAATTCTCAGTGATGGAGATTACGTAACCAGGTATTAAATATTGGGCTAATAAAGACCTGAAATTAAGACAATTTTATAATATTCAAGGACGTTAAGGTTTCAGTTTTCACATATTTAGCTCAATAATATAGAAAAGGTAATACAACTGAGATAATGTATCTATAGAATATTTAAAAAAATAAGGTGAGTAAGAATTATTTATATTACCAAACAAATAAAAAAATTTGCTAAAAGGGGTTTTTGTGATGTAAGTTAGCCTATAAATGCGCAAATTAACAAAAATAAATATGTTGTATGTCATATGTTACAATAGTCTAATGGATAGAGAACTTTTATAAAACAAAGTGCCTGTTGAGGGAAGGAACGATTTTAAAAATTTTATCATATAGAAAAAATTTTGAATATTCTATTCCGATAGACTAGCTTTTCATTAAGTTACTTTAACTCACTGACCAACTTCTCACATTGGATAAGTGGAGGTCATTTTCCTGCCTACTATCCAATCGCAAACTTTCAATCTTTCTACTTTCATCTCCTCCTGTACTCCACTATACTGTAAAATAAATTATGAATTGATCTCTTCAGTCTTTTAAGAAAAGAACAAAGAAACGGGGTCTCTGTAATAATTATGCAAAAAAACAAGTTTTTACTTGAATTTTGCTCAATAATTTATGCGCTCAAAATTGGGATTAGCAGGGAAATAATTCTATATTTACAACTCTGCCCCAGCATTCTTATTGCAATAGTCCGCAACTTTTTGATTTGATAACCATTGCAACATTCTTCTAATTTATGCACAATTCTATGACATAGAGGAAAGAAAATGGAGTTCCACAAGTAATAAATCTGATTGACATGTTTTTTTTCAACTGAAACTCATCTTCATTCCTTCATTACAATTAAATGGAAATTTAGAGCACAAAATTTATTTACCATCTGCTAAAACATCTCAAATTAGATTCCCTTATGACAATAAACATAATCCATTCCATAAATTGAAGTTGACTTCTGACTTAAAACTACAATGACCCCACTGTATGTCATATTTGACCCCTTCACAGTACTCATCTTGCCTTTTCTCTGTCTTCGTGTGTGTCTTTCTGCCTGTCTGTCTCTTTTACATCTGTGAATCACTATTCTGTCTCCCTTCTTGGCGTTTTACCACTTTGAAACACCTCCCCTCTGTAAAGCCCGAAGTCAACTAAAGGGCTAATGATAACAATCAAAACACCTGCCATTTGATATAATAATAATAATAACAATTCGGAAAGATTTAAATCCTCTTAGATCCGAGAGGAAATTTAGCACACATCCAAAAGTCAAAATATGAACAAAAATAAATATAGGATGCATGAATACCTATATGTGCATTATTAAGGAAAACAGTTATGGTTTTAAAGTGGCAGGAATAATCAAATTCAAACGTAGGTAAATAATAATAATAAAAGCCAGAAAAGGCAAACACGTTATATAACCGACAAATTGGTAGAACATATGATAATCGTATGAGAAAGAATAGAGAAAGTACCAAATTGGGGACCAGGAATAAAATATTTGATAGACAACTGCAATTTAGTAATTTAAAAAATATAACGCTTGAAAGAAATACGAATTTTGACGAAAATATAAATACAATGATACAATTTTACTAATTTAATTACACATATAGTTATCCACTCACAGTATCTCAATTAAATCTCACAGATTAATCAACAATGCGATAACTTGATTTCTGTCAAGATTTCAGAATTTACAGACAAGGTTATTTCAGACCTTGATTGTTAGGATAAAGAAAATTATAATTTATATCCATAATACAAATTATAGTTTTTAAAATTAGTGTGTGTTTTCAATGCCATAAAAATAAATTTTTTATTTGACTTGAATCATATTTATGTTCAATCAGTTGAAAATGGCGTATTAATATAATTTTCAGTGATTTCAATTTATTTATTGCATAGAAACAATAAAATAAATTTGTTTATGGTATTTCTATTTTATATCTTAAACACTGTTCACATTTACGGCATGCATGGTTCTTAAAGGTTGCCGTTTTTCAAGTGATAAGTCATCGCTACTTTCAATAAATTGCAATTATCAATGCGATCATTTTTCACTACTCCGATCTTTTATGCTAATGCCAGTAAGATTTGCTTCTAGTGTGTCTCTTATATTGGTTCACTAAAAGTAAATTGTAATTATTTATCTTCAGAACCTCACCTTGGTCATGCTTATACCCTTTGCATGGCTGATGCTTGGTCTCGGTTTTCAGCAATAAGACATCACCCAAGCCTTCAAGCTTTTCCCCCACGTCGAGTTTCTATGCGACCACCGTCTAATCTAACTTCATTCCTTTGTACCGGTGTTGATGAACATGGCAGTAAGGTGCTCTAGAACTCGTTAATTAATTTTCGGAATGTAGATCGCTCGTACAGCTATGGACCGCAATTGTTCTCCACAAGAATTGTGCGATAGTGTATCTATATCGTTTGCAGTAGGTTTATGGATATTATAGATTTTTCTTCATAGACGTCTATTATTACCTTTTTTTTCTTTAAAGGACCTTTGTTCAAAATTGAATATTTCCACCAGCGCCTTTATTCGCACAACAAATGACTTGCACAAAGCCGTCGTCCATGATGCTTGGGTAGGAAAATTAAATTTCTTTATCAAACGTTCTTCTTGAAGAAGCGTCTCGAGAACTCGGGTTATCTCTACTGGAGCACTTATTCCGGATGGTATTCTACAACGGACGAAACCTTCTATGGTGATTGGGAGGTCACTTATGACTATAAGAAAGGGGTCAAGGTATCAAAAGCGTCTGGAAACGAGGTTCAATGGGTCGAAGAAGAGACTTGTAGATTTCGACTCGCAGATTTCAAGCATCATCTTCATAAGTGGTTAGATTCTGGAGGTGGGTTTTTGCTAAACTTCTTTAAGCATAATTAGTGGCTTCATTAATGTTGTCTGTGATTAAGAGTGAGCCGAGTTTTATGCCTTCTCCCGTGCTTTTTAAGCACGGTCCTCTTTTGAGGAGGCACGTGGAATAAAGCTCGAAGCGAAAAAATATGAGACAACGCCTATGTAGAGGTTCTCTAACTTCCATTTCATATTCTTCTAGCACTACCGAAAGAATCTCAAGAGCACGCTCGACTTTTGTCTCTCACCCATACTATCTTGGATTTGCTTGAGGATCCATCTCTTTCGCG